GGCTTCCATGTCACACTTGTTGCCCAGCAGGAGGCGCTCCACCCCAGCAGAGGCATTCTGGGCAGAAGGGGAAGTGGAGATGGGGTCATCAGGCTTTGTCACCTGGGGTGCAGCCAGCTTCTCCCCCCCTCTCCAGGAGCCTCCTTACCTCTCTGATGCTCTTCATCCAGGTCTGAATATTCTCAAAGGATTTTTCATCGGTAATGTCATAGACCAGGATGATGCCCTGGGGGACAGTAAAGTTCACCTTGGCTAGGCTTCCCCTTCCCTTGGAAGCAACTCCAGAGTGAGTCTGATCCCTAGGTGGTACACTGTGGCACTCGGAGCCCTACAGGGTGGGGAGGCCTAGCACAGACGAGACCCTAGTTTTCAGACTTAGCACTGAAACAAAGAGACAAACAAAACCAAGCAAGCAAACAAAACACTTGGGCTTGCAAACGGGGCCCTGTGCAGCACACACTGCACCCCCCCCATCTCTTTTGGACTCAGAGCTCCCATCTCCCTCCGAAGCCCTGTCCAGGCGCACAGCGTACCATGGCTCCACGGTAGTAGGCAGTGGTTATCGTCTTGAATCGCTCCTGGCCAGCCGTGTCCCTGCAGAAGGATTCACAGAGCAAGAGAGACATAGGGGTTTTCAAGGGGAGAGGTCCCTGAGAATTCAGTTCCTAGAATGCACAGACACTGAAAGAAACAGATCAGAAGACAGTAAAGAGGAAAAGGGATGACAGTGGAGCTGCCACTGAGACACAGCAGAGGCCAGGGTGTAGCCACGGGAGAGGGCTCACCCAACACGTGTGAGGCCACAGGAGTCACCCCATGCCAGCACCGTGGGGAGGGGGGTAAGGCCACCACTGCCACGCTGGGTGGTACACATCTGTGATTCCAGCACTGAGGCAGGAGGCCTGCAAATTTTAACTCTGTCAAGGCAACATAGCAAGACCCTGTCCCAAAGTTTTAAAATGTAGCCATACATGGTGGCACAAACCTATAACCACAGCACTCAGGCCATGAGGCAGAACTGCCACAAGTTTGAGGTAAGCCTGGGCTACAGGGTTCAAGACCAGCATGGACTACATAGCGAGACTCAGTTTCAGTGAATAAATAAATAAATAAATAAATAATTGCAAAGGGCTAGAATTACAGCTCAGTACAAAGGGCCTGCCTTCAATCCTCTATACACGGAGAGCCTGAAAAACAAGGTATCTCTTTTTCACTTACTAAAGGCTTAGTGTGCCATCATTTGATCTAACCTTCATTCTATATTTGTGAGACATGTTTACATTTGTACCTATGTTTGCTGG